GTCTCTCAGCCATGGGTACCAGTATCTGCTCTGGTGGAGGTGGCAGGGGAGTAAAGTGGACTCTGTGAGGGTTCTAGGTTTTAGTCTTGTTTATTGTGCTAGTTTTGTGTTGATTGTCTGTCAGCCAGGAGGTTGCACTTTCAAGAGAGCATCATCTGTGGTAGTATAGGGAGGATCAGGTGGTGGGAGGGGCTGTAGAGCTCCCAAGAGATTATGCCCATAAGATTATGTCTTCGGGTACCAAGGTGAGTAGAGAAAAACTATCAGGTGGGGGCAGTGTTAGGTCTGAGCTTAGACTCTCCTTGGGTGAGTCTTGCTACTGCAGCTGTGGGGAATGGGAGTGTAGTTCTCAGGCCAATGGTATGTTCTCAGGGAATATGGCTGCCTCTGCTATGTCATATAGGTTACCAATGAAGTGGGGGAAAGCTATAATTATGGGCCTCACTCAGCTCCCATGCAGCCCAAAAGGCCCATCTCATTCCCATTATGCTTCACCAATGGCACTGAGTTTATTCCAGGCAGGAGGGGAGCAGGACTGAGAGTTCTCAGTTTACCAGCCTCCTGGTTACCAGCCTCCTGGCTGAGAAAGCAAGCAGGGCTTTTAGGTTTCACACTTCCTCACCTGCTGTGGCTTCTGTGCTGTGTCTGTACTCCTGATCTGCCTCCTCCCCCAGGCTCTGTCTAGGAAACTTCACGTTCGGTCAAAATTATTACAAAGTTCAGCTGGAAATTGCCTTCTTTCTGTGGTCTTTTCCCAGTTCCTCTGCCAGCCCTTTCTAGGGACCTCTGTGAGACAAAGTCAGAAATGGCTTCCTTGGGAACTGACAGTGCCCATGGGGCTCTTCACACTGCTTCTTCTACCCCTGTATTTCATTTGGCTCTCTAAATTCATCTGAGCTTCAGGTAAGATCACATCCTACTCCTATGATCTGGACTCTCAGTTTTCCTAGTGAGGGTGTGTGTGTTCATGGGCAGATGATTCCCCTTTCACATTTTAGACACTTAAACAGTTTTTTGAGTGTTCCTGGGGCCTGCAGCAGCAATCTGCTTCCTCCAAAGGGTCTGGGGATTCTGTCAGCTTTCCAGGTGTTTTCCTGCACTAGTTCTTGGAACAAGAGTTCATGATGTGAGTCTCTACATCCTACTCTATCTGTCCGAGTCGGAGCTGCAAGTTACTCCTGCCTCCTATTTGCCGTTTTTTTCCCCAATTGGTGTAGATTAACTTTTAAAAATTAGTGAAACATACAGAACATAAAATTGGCCACTTTAACACATTTTAATTGTCCAGTTCCATGGTATTAATTACATTCGCAATGTTTTACAACCATCGTCACTACCTATTTTCAAAACGTTTTCATCATTCTAAGAAGAACTCTGTAACCTTTAAGAAAGTACTCTGCCTTCCCTCAGTGCCAAGTAATCTCTAATCTACTTTCTGTCTTTATGTTTGCATATTCTACTACCTGTACGTGGAAGAATACAATATTTTTCCTTTTGCGTCTGGCTAATTTCACTTAGCATACTGTTACAGTGATCATTGCTGCTGTAGCATGTATCAGAAATTCATTCCTTTTTATGATGGAATAATATTCCATTGTATGTATATACCACATTTTGTGTACCCATTCATCTGTTGGTGGACCCTTGGTATCTTTCTGCCTTATAACTATTGTGAATAACGCTGCCACAGCTTGCAAGTATCTATTCTAGTCGTTGCTTTCAAGTCCTTTGGTTATATCCTCAGGAATGGAATTGCTGGATCCTATGGTAATTGTGTTTATGTCTTTTACAGGAACCACTAATCTGTTTTTCAAATTGGCTATCCCAATTTACATTCACCAGCAATTCATAAGACTTCTAATTTCCCCATATTCTATTCAGCATTTTGTTATTTTCTGTTAAAAAACAATTGTAGATTTCCTAAAGGGTGTGAAGTGGTATTTCATTGTGCTTTTGATTTGCATTTCTTAATGACTAATGAAATTGAGCATCTTTCCAGGTGCTTGCTGACATTTTGCATATCTTCTTTGCAGAAGTGTTTATTGAATTCCTTTGGTGATTTTTGAATGAGGTCTTTGTATTTTGATATCGAGTGTTGGAGTTCATTCTATATTCTCATTTGATTTGTGAATATATTCTCCCACTCTGTGGGCTGTCTTTCAATCCTTCCATCCACTTTTTAAACTTTGTATATGATGTAGTTCCCCCTCCTTGCCCACATTCCTTATTTCTTTGATCACTCTGAGGTTTCCATTTCTTCTGTTGCAATAAGACTTTCCCCTATATGATTCACCTTCCTCTTTTCACTCAAGTACTAGGGGACATAATGGGAATGAGTGCCCACTGTCCTGTGCTCTCTGAGCATGGGCAGCCTGAGCCCTTGTGTACCACCTAATGCCAGGGGACCTCTGCTGACCATTATGTCCAGGATGTTCTTGGCTCACTTTCCTGCCCCAATCCTCCCTTCTCCCTCCACTGCTGCCCTTTCACTCACTGTCTGGCCTGTGCTTTTCCTGTCCCTTCTCAGAGAAGGGCTGAATTATTCTAGTAATGTGAGAGTCCAGGAGACTCTGAGAGAGGTGCTGGCTGCAGGCACCAAATGGAAGAGAAGCCCCTTCATGGTAGCAGAATGAGGTATTAGACCTTAGGCAGAGGAAGGTCTGTCTATGGGCTAGGAATGGACAATAAGTGGGAGGAATACCTGGGACCAGATCCAGAAAAAGAAGCAAGGTCTGAGTTGAGAGAGGTTGGTATAATCAGGGATACCAGCCCAGTGAAATTGGGAGGAGTGCATGGGGACCAGGTGCTGGAACAGGGCTCAGAGTCAGGAGCACTAGCATCTAAGCCGTCAGCAAGTGTAGACAGGGTTGAGCATGCTCCTGCTCCATCAGGGTGGCCAGCCAGAGAGGCAGGTGACCACCATAAAGCTGTGCTGTTGGGGAGAAGCTGCTTGGGGTCTGACATCCTCTCCTACTAGCTAGACCCATTTGTCTACCTTGGTTCCTCCCAGCCCTTGCTGGACAATTGCCTACTCCATGAGTTTCCTGAGGAGCCTGCAGGCCCTATGTGAGAGGGAGGCTGACAGGTGCCCTAGTGACATGGCCAGGCAGACTCCCTTTTCACATCTCATTTGGGCTGAGAAGAGCTGGATCCCTAAGGCCCTCATGCAAGACCAGGCTTGTGAGGCTTTCCTGATCAGCTCACTGCAGCCCTGGTACAGCTGAGATGTGGTGTGTCTTTGATCAAACTCCTGATGGAAACTTCATTCCCAATGTGGCAGTGTTTGGAGCTGGGTGTTTCTGGGAGGTGTTTAGATCATGTGGATGGATCATTACTGAATACATTAGTGCCCCCATTCTACCCTGCAAGCATGAACAAGTTCTTATCATTGGTGGCATGAGGAGGTTCCCAAGAGGGCAGGTTCTCAAAGAGAAGGGCTTCCTCAATCTCTCTCTTGCTTTTTCCCTTGTCGTGTGATCTCTGCATGTGGTCACTCGCCTTTTGCTTTCTGCCAAGAGTGGAAGCAGCCTGAGGCTTTTACCAAACTGCCAACTTTACCAGGCTGCCAAAACTTGGACATTCCAGGCAACAGAATTTTGTGGCAAATAAACCTCTTTTTGTTATATATTACCCAACCTCAGGTATTCTGTTATAGCAAAAAAACCACAAAACACACCAAGACAGGTTGTTAGCTCAGCTCTACTCTGATTCATATAGTATAAGAAAAGCTAAATGTTACTGTAATGGAGGCCTAGTATTTTTCACCTAACGGAGGTGTGAGCTTCTCCCTCTGATACCCTAGATAAAAGACCTTTGTTGAAATTCAGCTACCATGGGAGCCTCAGGAGCTGGTGAGAGTGTGGGCATCAGAGTTCACAAGAAGTGAGGCTGTGTGTAAGGGGTAGGTCAGGTCTGGCCCTGCCAGGATCTGGTACCAAAGAGCAGGCCTCAGCTCTCTTGTCCCTAATCAGAAGGGACTTGTCTCCTCTCTGTTTGCTCCCCCTTGGCATCTCCTCTCTTTCTTCTATTGGCTTCCATGGAAAGCCACACACAATGTGCAAACTTGTGAACCTTATTCTGGGGAGGAGGAAAGACAGAGGGAATGTCTGAGTGACATCACACAAGTAGGTACCAAATAGGAGAGATTTAGATGGACAGATGTGGTGACAATCAGGTAGGGGCTGTGCTAGGCTGAACCATGGGTCTCCACGATGTCCACATCCTAATCCATGGAACCCATGGTTATGGGACCATATGTGTCAAAATGGACCTTGAAGATGTAAGTAATGGATCTTGAGGTGGTGATATTCTCCTGGATTATTTGAATGAGTGTGATATAACCACAAGGATCTTTATAAGAGGGAAAGAGATGTGAAGATAGTAATAGAGATTTAAAGATGCTGTTGGCTTTCAAGAGAGAGGGGAGGCCAGTACCAAGGAATGCAACAAATAAAGCTCTGGAGCTGGAAGGTGAAGGGGCAAGGCTGTCTCCCTGAGAGCTTCTAGAGGGGTTTGGCCCTGTCCAGAACTTGTTTTATACCGAGTGAAACCCATTTCTGACTTTGACTTCCAGAACTGTAAGAGAATAAAAAGCTGTTATTGAAAACTACTGAGGATGTGGTAGTTTATTACAGCAGCAATAGGAAACTAGCATAGGAACAGACAAGCAGACAGGAGGAAAAAGACAAGGGTATGGGCAGACAGGCTGGAGGGCAGGCAGGAGATTGGGAGCTGGGTGGAGATTCAGGGATGCAGGTGGATAGGAGACAGATAGACAAGTAGGTAGGGAGCCTGGAGAAAGGTGAGAGAGAGAAGGGCAGGCTGACTTTATGGCAGTTGGCAGTAAGAGACCAAGATACAGGCAGACATGCAGGGGACAGAAGCAGAGGTCAGGGGGACAGAATGGCAGGTGAAGATTCCCAGAGCTGGTCCTTGTCTCCACAGGGGTTAGGGAGCCTCTTGAGATCCAGGTGGATCCCATTGCTGGACTTTAGCACAATTCATGGTATGGGAATGGGGATCCTGGTGAGATCAGGCACCAGCTCAAAGTGGAGCAGGGTCAGGGCTGTGGCCACCTTCAGCTTGTTCATGGCAAATTGCTTCCTGATGCAGTTCCTGGGCCAGGCAGAGAAGATGAATTGAAAGTAGCCTCAGGCCCCATTCGGAGGTGGGTAGTTTTTGGTCCCTGAGTACTTTGGACCCTGAGCTTTGCATTCAGGGGCCACCTTCATGTATCCATCTCCGACTTCCTTTCTTTTCAGGCCACACACTTCTACTCCAGCCTGTGTTCACCCTCTTTCCTGACCTCATACAGAGCCTGCTTCTTTTCCTGGGCTAGTTCCTAACTCCTCCCTCTGCTCTCAGCAGGTCTGAAAACCTCTATCAGGACAGGGCCAGCACTTTAAGGCACAGAGTCTAATCACATGACTGGATAAAGGGTTAATCAGTGGTTTGTTCATTCCTCCAGAAATAGTGTGTGGTTCCCCAGTTTGCAGGCCAGTTCGGGTCACTGCGGGTGAGGATGGGCCACACTCTCAGGTTCACACCAGGTAGGCAGATGCACTGGCACCCAGCTGCTCATGGGGGGCCCAGAAGGGTGGGGAAAGGGAATCAGAAGGGCAGTGAGAGGCTTCCTCAAGGGGCACTGGGCAGGTGTTGCCCCACCTGCCTCCTGCCACAGTGAGGTTCAGGTTTCTGTCTCCCCCTCACCCCTCCATCCACCAGAGCCTGTGCTCTTCTAAATCTTCTAATTGTATTCCAGAAATGTCACTCCTTGCCATCCCTCAGTCTTCTCGCCTGGACTTTCTGGGTCCCTACTTGCCCTCCCTCCACACTAAAACCCAGCTCAGACCCTCCCAATGCAGTTCCTGGGCCAGGCAGAGACAATGAAGACAGCGTCCTAGTGTCCCAGATGGCAGCCAAGCCCTCCATGGGCTGTTGCCTCACCCATGTTTTACCTCTCCAGCCCACATCTTAGCCCTGTTCATGTGGAGATGGCTGAGAACCTACCCCCTCCACCTCTGCCTACCACATCCTCAAGGCTAAGGCCAGAGCCCAGCTGCCACTCACCCCCTGCCGGCTGTGTCCCTCCCTTCCTCTGCTCCCAGGCAGCATTTATGATTTATCCACAGGCAGTCACAGTCCAGTGCCTAGGACAGTGCCAGCATCAGAGCACTCATTGAGTGAACAAGTGAGTGAAAGGATGGATGAGGGAGCCATGTGTGTCTGGAGCACAGAATGTTTCTGTACAACACATTTTTGTCCTGTGGAGTCTTCAAGTCAGGAACAGTACCTTTTACTTCTGTTTTCTCATCATCCTGCACAGGACGTGACCCACAGAAGTAGGCTTAATAAATACTTTTATATTTGCATGAAGTTAATTAAGTTTTTTAAATGAGTGAAACAGAATGGAATTCACTGAGAGTAATTATTGGTTCTGAGCTAGAAATGGAGATGGAGCTTGGGGATGCTCTCCTGTTCCCTAGTGGCAGCAACATGATTGGCAGCCAGTGCTTAGGAGGAAGTTGTCCTTCTGGGATAAAGCAGTGCTGGAGAAGGTGTATCTGGAAGAAACATTTGCTTAAAGCCTGTTCTGTGAAAGTTTATTCACCATTTGAAGAATTCACAGTACTATTCCTTCAGAAAAATCTTGTTTTAACTATTTACATCACTTTCGGCATTTGTATTTCACAGGACATTCCTGCAGCTTTTGCAGATTTCCACAGCACCCATTTTAGAGTGTATCTGTCCAGCTCAACAGCTAATACAGACTAGGAACCTTCAAATGCTGTGTCACATAATGAATATTGAGCTTTTCTTTACAAGGCAGTCTATTGTCCACATTTTTATGTTTTTGCCAACATTGTGCTATGTGGACTGTGGGACTATGGTATAGAGATGTTAATATGTGAACATTATAATGGAGCAAAAATTTTATTGGGTAAGACAGCAAAATGTGTGAGACGACACATATTGATGTGAAGCTTTCTGTAAAGTCTTACCATAACCTTTCACTTCTATGGCTTGAAAGATAGGACCAGCAAGCTGAGTGAATTCTAAATATATGCAAAGATTTGGGTTATTCAATGTGGCCGGCTATTGACTTAAGTAGAAAAGGTGGTGTGCTGCATTGAGAATGAATGGGGAGAGACAAATTGACTCTGTAAAATTCCTGACGATTGAGAGAAGCATACATCTGAAGTTCAGTTTACTAAAGAATATCTAATTCTGAAGATCCATACTCCTAACATGAGGAAAACACCTGAATACACTCATGTTTGGAAGACCCACTGACAGTGATTTTTGGCTGCACATTGGGAAAGAGCAGAGGGAGCAGTGTCTCCACGGTGTGCCTGAAATTCCAATTTGCTTTTGTGTGTAGAGACACCAACAGGAGGTCTCCTGTCCACAAACAACAAATATTAAAGGATGTAAATGAAGACGCACATATGAACACTGGGGTCACAAATGGCTGTGAGCCCAGAGACTCCTCCTATCTTCCCACCCCCATTGTCACAAATTGGTGTCTCACTTTGCTCCTCCTGAGAAGGGCAGGAAAGCATGGCTGTGTTGAGCAGAACCCAGTGCAAAGCGGGAAGGGTCAAACACCTGCAGAGAGAGCATCAGGGCCAGGACAGGAAGGGGTCCAGCCCCTGCTTCCCACCCAGGAGGGGACAGGATGTCCAGATTTGGGAGCAGAAGAAGGTGCTAGGTCTGAGAGGTCATCCCATCCCCTCCTCCCAGCACCCTCTTACCTCTGGGTTTGGCCACACCTTTGTATTGTGGTGAAGGCCATAAATGGAAAGCATGGCTGTGATACCTGTGGGGTGCATAGGAGATAAAGAGAAGAGTAATTGTACCCATGGGTGGCCAGGTCTCTTAGCCAGCTGGGGAGAATGGTTTCCTTAAACCGTCACTTTGAGAGGGATGATCCTGACACGATGCAGTGGGTTGGGCTTGGCTAAACATGTGTGCTGCTCAGATGATGGGCAGAAAACCATGATTCCAGGGATGAGAAGCAGGAAAGCGTTGGTGTATTACTACTTGGAGTATGTTGAGTGACAATTCATATTCATCGAATGCTATTTATTAACTGTTGGGGAATATACATAAACTCACTCAGTACTTAGAACAGACTTCCAAGGAAGACATTCTTTTATTCCTAAATTTCAGATGAGATATGAATCCCAGAGAGGCTGATTTTCTTGCCCATGGTTACCAAGCTAGGATATAGTGGGACTAGGACATGACCTGGTGGGGCTTGAGTCTGGGTGCCTCTGATCACCTCAGGAGTCTCAGATCTGGTTATCAGCTGCTCTCTGCTACTAATCTGAGGGCTCCTCAGAAACTGGACAACAGCTGACCCATGACACAGGATTCCTGATCTCCCTCCTTTGTGTTGACCCCATCAGGAAAGAACCACATGCTCTCTGCCCCTGTTTGATACTCTCGCCAGCTCTCTCCTTCTCAGTGAATAGAATTTTAAGGTCTTTGGTTTTCAAGGTTAACATTTAGTTATTGAACTTTTGGTGTGTTCAAGCTCCGGGTCAGACATTTCAAACTCTTCTTTCTAATGACAAACTGTATCATATTTTGACAAGGAAAGTGAGACCCAGAGATATTCAGAACTGCTGAAGCACAGGTGAATTTTTGACCCTCCACAAGTCCCTGTGGAGAGCTGAGGCGAGTGAATGGGGGAAGGTCATACCTTTGGGCAAGGAGCGCCCATCAGGGAAGGTGATGGGAGTTCTGAGCTCTCTGCCAATGCTTGGCACTGGTGGGTAGAATCTCAGTGCCTCCTTGATGCACATGGTAGTGTAGGGCATCTTGTCCAGGAGGCAGGGCCTGGGCAGACCAGGGGATTGGGCAGGACTCCCCATCTCTTAATTCCTCACTCACCAGGTGATGGAGGCTCCATCCCCCAGGAGGCCCTGGATCTCCTCCTGGAACCTCTGCTGATGCTTAGGGTGTGTGGCCAGAATATAGAGGACCCAGGAGACTCTGCTGGCTGTGGTATCATGGCCCTCAAACATGAATGTGTCCACCTCAGCATGGATGTCCTTGTCTGACAAGCTGTTCCCATTCTCCATCTGGGGAGGCCATGGTGATAGTACAGGGTTGGTGTCTTGATCTGTGCTTTTGGGAAAAGCTTCAGACCTCTCCTACACATACTTACTTTGGCCAAGAGGAATATGTCTAGGAAATCCAAGTGCCTCTTCCCCCTGACCTTCTCCAGCTCCCCCTGCTCTTGCAAGCAAGCCTTTCTCAGCTGGATCACTCGGTCTGTCTGGAAACAGTGGTTACCAGGCAGAGCTGAGCGCCTCAGTGAGGTCACGAGGTCCAGATGTTCATCTGTGCCCATCTAGGTGCCCACTAAACCTCAGCATAAATGTGGGTGTGGGTGTGTGATCATGGTGGGAGCTCTAGCACCATGCAAGGCAGGGCAGACCTCCCCACAGTGGTATAGCCCATGGAGCCTCTGCTTAAGTCGCAATGGGATAGGGCGTCATTCAGCCATCTCCATGCCAACTCCTGCACAACACCAGGCCCCTATCATCACTGCACCAAAGAAGTCTCCTACATATGAGTGCTATCTCCTACAGAGGCACTAGGGGGTTTGGCTCTGCCTGAGGGGTCAGGGCCAGCTCCTTTAGCTGTGCCTGGTAAAGGTGGGACAAGAGGAGGAGACAGAACCTGTGTATTGATGGGTGAGCTGGCAGGAATTGTGGTTCCAGCGGCCATCAGGTGTCAGGCTGTAGATGGTGTCATTCTGATAAAAGGGATTTCTCAGGGAGGAAGAAATAAGGTTGTTCAGGTCCCCGATGGCCTAGTTGTAGGAATGGGAATTCCTAAGGGAGGAAATACAGAAGAGTCCAGAATAGAGGGGCCCACTTCTGTGAAGGCGAAGTGGAGTGTGGATGGAGATAGTCTGAAACAGCAGGGACAGGCAACACTGAAGCACCTGTGTCTTCTGTCTCATAGCCTTGTAACCTTTAGGTCTTTATGAGATTTGTGTGAACAGCCAAGGTCCACCTGTGCTGGGGATCAGGGATCTGTGCCTGAGTTATCATATGTTCTGGTCTGGAATTGGAGCTTGGTCAGCATCTGCATCTCACTTTGTGAGCCTCTAAGCTGCTCCACCTGCCACTCAGGTATGTCCATGAAGTTAATAGGAACGAGGACCCTGCAGCTGAAGGGTTATCACTGACCTGTCCAGCTGAACGCTGCCCTCGTGGCTGAAGGCACACTTCATGATGGTGTCCAGGGTCATCAAGGAGATGTGCTCAGAGACCTCCAGAGAGGAATTCCGGGCTGACAAGCTCCTCCCACTTGTCCTGTGGTGGGAGGGGCATAAACCTTCTTAATCCCCCAGAAGTCTTTTGGTAATAAGGCCCAGCCTTTCCGTTTACCTCCACATGTCGTGGTTGGGATCCCTCACTTTAGAGAACAGATACATTATAGTAAATTAGAATGGTGAAACAAATGCTTATAAAATGATATCTTCTCAGAAATGTTTACTATCAAATTAAATATATGTTCTGATAAAATCTGAATTACATTTTGAATTCTGGGAATCAGTTATGACCTTTGGTTTGATGAGAATTTTTTTTCCGTATGGGATAAAGTCTTGGAATACTCTTTAGTTTTCTAGCAGCTGAGCTGACCTGAGGAACTCGTTGAATACTAAATTAGGAAAATATGTGTCAGGCAAGGGCCAGTATGGGCTTCTAATGGAGGGACAACCAGGACTTCAAATGCTTGTAATTCAATAAACATTTGCTGGGATACAGTTGGGTGACAAATCGGAGTCCTGAGGGAAGGGAGGGTATGGCAGGTCTGCCTCTGAGAATGTAGACCTGGTGTCCATTTCACTCCATGGGTGGCTCAATCCTGTGCAGGGGCCCTAAGCCCCAGGCCAGAGCCTGGTTGGATGACATCCTAGCCTGTCCACCTGGCCACTGAAGCTGCCATTGCACAGGCCAGCCAGGAGCAGGGCGTCCTGCTGTCCAGAAGGTTTGAGCGCAGTCCGCTGTGCTGAAGGTTTCCAAGTGGGAAGAGAGGGGCCTTTTACACACCATGACTCTCATTTCCTGTGATGTTGAGCAAAGTGTGGATCTAACCTGATGCCTGGGTATTCTGCTATGCACTTATGGAACTCTACTTTCAGAGTAAATACCTGAGAGTGTGATTCCATGTGGCTGTGTCTATGGCTGTCTCTGGGACACAGGATTGAGAGTGGAATTAGTGAGAGTGTGTGCTATACTGTGTGTGGAGAGGAGAGAGACATGGACTCATCAGCATCACTCGCATGGAGTTCACCATGAGCACCACGTATGGCTTCAGGATGTCATAGTGGAAGGCTGGGGTCAGCATCCACTGATGCTGGAACCATGTCTGCCCATTCAACAGGAGCAAGCCATACCCTAGGCCAGAGATGGGTGTGTGTATGTATGTGTGTGGGAGGGGGGATGAGATCAGAGGGATGACTTATCATCCTCTGTACATCCCATGTACAATTTGGGAGGTACATAAGGTGGCTCCTTGGGGGAGAAAACCAGAATAAGGCACATGATGGCCAAAGGCAGGATAGGCGGGCACTCAGGCATGGGAATTTGATTGGGCTGGTACATCCCTGTGATTATGATAGCCAATATTTATCTTTATTTTATTTGATCTAAATAATGGTTGAAAAGTGTTGTGGGGCAGAGGTAAAATAAATGTGAGGCCAAGGATGTCTGGAGACAGGCATGTTTCCAGCAAGTGAAGTGGAAGAAGCTGAGCCTCATGAGGGCTCACACCAGCATGAGGAAGCGGGGGAGGGTCTTGGTAGGAGGATATGAGGCTTGATTTAGGAGGGGTCATTACAGTGGTGGCCCCTCACCTGTTATTCTCTGTGAGCCAAAGAGATAGCTCTTGCAAACCTAACTGAGGAGTGGACTGCAGTCCTAGTTTAGAAGTACATACCAATCCAGGGAGCTGCGTATCTGCAGAAATCATGAACCTTTGGGTCTGAAAGGGAAGGAACAGAGTTAATAGGAAATGGAGCTGTTAACCAAAGTTGCCCCAGGGGCAGTTGTGGTTCAGACCATGGGCTGCCATTGATTCTTATCTGTCAGTCTCAATTTGACCCATGTCACCTACCACTTTCCTGTCCCTTTCCATGTCTGTTATGAAGGTCAGTGTGGGATCAGGAAGGCAGTTGTAGGTTCCAGCAGCATAACACCCACAGAACTAGAAAGGTGAGTTGTCCAGGAACATGGGTAATATCCTCTATGCCAGGGAGTAAGACAGTGCCTTGGGTTCTATGCCAAGGGGTAAGACAGTGCTGCTGGCTTAGCCTTCCCATGACCCAGAATAGGCAGCAATTAGAGGTTCCAAATCCCAGTCAGTGCGGACACAGAATTTGTTTTAGATATCTGGTGCAATTTATATTATAGGTCACCTCAATTTGGTTAAAAAGAAAAGAAAAAGAAAATAACAAGATTCAGCCCCACACAGCTCTTTTAAACATTCAGTAGTAAGTAAATATTGTTGACCACGTGCTGGGTTGCACCCAAGAGGATGGTTGGTTAAATGTGTATGGCTGATGGCTGAACTTCCACTTTCTTCTGGCATTTTACAGACCCAGCCTCATGTACTGAAGAGGGGAGAGCTACTGTAGCTGGGGTGGGGTTTCACTCTCACCTGATCTCCCCAGAATCACCTTCATGTAGTCAGGGTCATAGAAGAGGAGTCGGACTCTGTTCCCACATAGCAATTGTGGACAGGCTCTCGGGAATCTTTCCACCCGTTTCAGAATCTGTTGTAGCTCCTGGTCCTTCTGGAACTGTCACAAAGGGAAAGACATATTAATGAAAACTTTCATTTAGTTCTCCTCATTGGAGTAGAATGAAGGACTGGTCTACTGCAGAGAGATCATTCTGGACCTATCAGCAGACATTAAGGGTTGGAACTGTTTCTGATGATCTGGGCAGTGATCTAGTCTGTGGCTGTCTCCCCAGGACTTGACCTGAGCCAGATTCTATCCCTTTGTTGCCTGAGCTGTATGTGTGCCTCAGAGGAGCTATGGATGTCAGAAAGGTCATCTCCTGAAACCCCCATCTCCTCTTAAGTGTGTTCAATCCACAAGCCGTTGGTGAGCCCCTCTCCATGAGACCCCTTACATTGCTCCATGCTTCCTCCCCAGTGTTGGCAGTGCCGAGTGGGGCATGGACCTTGTCCCTACCAGCCCTGGGACTCCTCCTTTCCTGCCTTCTTCTGTCTCTCCACACGCCTGGACCAGCCATCCCACTGTGCCAAGCTCTTGTTGGGTGCTGAGACACAGGTGGAGGATGGCATGCTCAGGTTAAGGAGCTCACAGCCCAGATGTGTGGGAGGAGGGCCAGGCGGTCAACACACACTGTTCGATAGTGCAACTTAGACACCTTCAGCTGGAGGACATGGTGCAGGCTGTTCTCATTATATGAGCCCATGACTGTCAGGGTTCCATTCCCCAGATCACCTGCTCTGGAAATTCCCTCAGTCTTAGACAAAGCAATCTATCTGGTTTATCCCCTACACCTGACCTCAGCCACCCATCCAAGCAGAGTGAGCTCTTTCCTGTGTCCTGGCACTTCCTGAGATTCTCTATGGTCTCCACAGAAGATGAACCCCACAGGGCAGGGATTCTATCAGATGGGTGTCTATTCCTAGGCAAGCTCAGGGCCAGGCAGAGAGGTTGGAATTGAGGGACTGGGCAGAAAACATCTAGAAGCCTTATTTTTTGAGGATGGGTGAGGCTGCTGGGGGTGCTTAGCTTGGAGATGGGGAGACCCAGCACTGACCAGACATTGCCCTCCATGGGCAGGGCTGCCAGGGAAAACTTCAGATCTGTATAAGGAAGGCATGGGTGTCATGGCTGAGGACCAGCAAGGCAGGCTTTTTGGTTAGTAGTGAGCTCCCTGTGGTTGGCATGAGCTGAGACTAGATAGATGAGCTGGGTGTTCCTTGGAGGCCACATGTTTAGGACACTATGAAGCTTTTTACCCATGGACTTTCTGAACAGGCCCCAGACCCCTCACCCTTTCTGCCCTCCTACTCTCTGCCAGCTCCTTCCTACCTCCTGGTTGTACCCGTAGAGCCAGTGGGAGGGAGGAGACGGGAACTGCTGTAGAGCTTTGAGCAGCCACTGCCTGTGCAGGTAGAGCTGAGCTGCCTTGAGCAGCAGTAGAAGCAGGATAAGCAGGGAGGCTGCTTGGAGGAGCCCGGAGATGCCACCCAGGAGTCTGCTGGGACTCAGCACAGAGACACTCATGGTACAGTGCCTGCTGGATCTCTGAGTGCCCCTGTCTGCTCCTTACTGCTCCTGCCTACCTCTGCCCATATCCTGGGAGGCTTGTCCCGCCCACCTGTGGACAGGGTTAAAAGGGAGGGCAGGGCTTGGACCCAGTGTCCAGAGTTGATGGACTGTGGAGGATCCCCCTGAGGAAACACTGAGATGAAAGCTTCATCAATTACCAGTGGTAATGGCCATGTACACACTCATGTTCCCCTGTCCTTATAACTCACAAATATCTAATGCGTACCTTCTGTGTGTCAAGCAGTATTTTAGGTAGGTGAGCACAAGTGCAAGAAAAACAGACATAAACCCCAACCCTAAGAATTTCACAATGTTTAGTAGGTGTAGCTGGTTTTATTATTCCAAGTTCAGTTTTGATAAACTGATTATAGAGAGGCAGAACCTTGTGTTAACAGTAAGATAGCCATTGAGAGTTGTAGGTGGGATTAGACTCCTTCTCTGTTGGACTCAACAAATGCCAATGCTTGTGGCCTCTGAAATGTTCCCCAGGGCTTGTCCCTATCCATTTTTCAGTCATGGCCCAGGATCATGGTGCTGATGGATAGACTCAGGCAGCTCAAGCCTCAGGCTCATTACAGATGTAGCCAGCAACTTATAGTCTCTGGACCTCAGTTTCTTATGTTGTAAGGTAGGATCATAATCCTTATCATAAATAACTCTTAGGACTTATTATTATTTAAGTCATTCTTTTATTCAGGAAATATTTCATCAAGCACGTTTATTTTTGCAGAGGTATGTAAGAGCGACGGATTAAGGCAGAAATATGCCTCAACAGGAAGTGTTTATTTAGCCCATAATGTAGTGACTAAAACAGAAAATAAAATTATTTCAGCAAAAAATTATAAGGCTTTACAAGAGAGATGAAATGTCCATGCAGAAAGAAGAAACTATAAAGGAAGATGGGTCTCGAAGGAGAAATAGGGGTTCACCAGGTAGAGAGTTCTTGGTAGAGGGACAGGCAGCAAGAACATCATGGAGATGGTACAGAAAGGAAGAAAGCATGGGGCATGGTCATATTCACATTTCTCACCCTCACTTTTTTCATAATTCATCTCCTGTATGGTCAAATTCAGTGTTTGGAATTCATAGAGTAAAACAGGACAGATATTTCTGGAAGCATTCCATGAAAGCCAGTCCTCTGAGGGCCACAAGTTTCCTGCTGACCTGCTCCTGCACCCACCTAAAGTCTAACGCCCAACATTTTCCCTTTTTGCCCTGCCTCATAACAGGTAATTGATTATACAACTCACAGGGCTAGACTTCTGCTCTTTCTCCTCTAAATCCAAAAAATTTTGGGCATTATCAAAAAAAGAGGCAGAATGACATGCAACTATTTAGACTGCATTTCAGCCAACACTCCTCTAGTTTCATGACTCCTTTCCCCCCTCATCCTGCCTCCCTTCCAGAAGGGACTATTGGACTCTGTCCCTGCTGAGCTCAGTACCTGGTTTTCACCCACATGGTGAGGGGTAGCAGTGGAACTGCTCAAGAACTGTGGAATCACAGAGCCTGGCTTTGAATTCTTTTTTTTTTAATGAAATGGAATTTCTTTTATTTATTTATTTTATTTTATTTTTTTGAGACAGAGTCTCACTCTGTCACCCAGGCTGGAGTGCAGTGGTACGATCTTGGCTCACTGCAACTTCTGCTACCCAGGTTTAAGCAATTCTCCTGCCTCAGCCTCCCGAGTAGCTGGGATTACAGGCGCCTGCCACCTTGCCTGGCTAATTTTTGTATTTTTAATAGAGATAGTGTTTTACCATCTTGGCCAGGCTGGTCTCGAACTCCTGACCTCATGATCCACCTGCCTCAGCTTCCCAAAGCGCTTGGATTACAGGCACGAGCCACCATGCCTGGCATGAATTCTGGTTTTACTCATTCTCTCCTTGAGTACTCACTTCTTCTTTGTAGTTAGACTCATAACGTGGTAAGAGCTAACATTTAGTGAGCACTTACTATGTTCTAGGCACTGAACAAAGAACTTTACATGCTTTCTATCACAACAACCATATAAAATAGTTTTGAAAAGCATCTCATACTATATTTGGGATGTCTATGGCACAAAGAGGGTAACTGATTTTTTAGGGTTTCCCAATAGGTAAGAGGTGCAGCCAGGATTCTAAGTCAGGCAGTCAGGCTCCAGAGACTTTGCCCTTTATGTAAAAGAGGCGATGATTAGGTTGAGCCTCTAGTCCAGATGGCTGCCCCTAAACGTCCCAGGGAGCATTTCACATTTGCTGTGTTTTATCCAGTGTTTCCAAATAGCAGGATGGTTTGTCAGATTACCAACTCCACATGTTGGCGTAAATGCAAGCCTCACTATTCAGGGAAGCTCCTGTAAGAAAATGAGGTGTAAACTATGTGGCTGGGTGTAGTAAAGTTATTGAAAATGATGGTCATGGAGGGTGTTTAATGAGATGAGTAAAGCATATAACAAGGTGATAAAAACAATATAGAGCTGTAGGTTGAGTATGAGCTTAAGTCTTAGAGAAGTATGTTTGACATTTTCAAGATTTATTAACAAGTAATATCTTTCCCATTCATTTGGTATCATACACCACTACCAATAACTCCTGGAGGTGATAACTCAGTGTCTATGTCCTTCTGCTTCTATGGCATGAAGCAGGTGAGCATGCCTGTTCATGATGCTCAGGAAATACCTACCGATTGGATCAATGAGTGAGAGTGGACATGAATGAGACTTAGGACTGGTTAGATCACTATCATGAGAAGACTCAGTTTACATTTGTGTGCCACATTTAAAAAGGCAGTTGATATTTTTGTTGCTGGATATTTCCTGGGTCAATGTTTAGCCAAGACAAAGGCAGAGGAGGGGCAGTGGATCTCCAAGGTGGCAGCCTGCAGCAGTTACTCCTGTGGGTATACCACCCTAAGAGATTGATTTCTGGGTTGGGATATATTTTATTTTGATTCTTATGGAATTTTACATTTTATTTACTCCTTTACAATAATCAAATTGCTTATGCAGAAGCATTTTTTAAAAAGTTTAGAGTGAAATATTTATGAATGAATTTTTTTCTACATAGCTCATTTGAATGATTTTTTTAAAAAAATTATAGATTCACGGGGTACATGTACATGTTTGTTACATGGATTTATTGTGTGATGCTGGGGTTTGGTCTTCTAGTGTGTATAATCATTTTTATCTCCCACTTGCAAGTGAGAACTGTTTGGAAAACTCTGCCTCTACCTTGAAAGCTCTCTCTCTCTCTCTTCCCCACCCCCACAAAGAGGCTCTCTTATTTTTACAAACTGCCCTGGCCTTCTCGCCGCCGCAGCCACCTCCCACCGCTTCTGCCTTATCAGCACTCCCCCCGCCGCTTCTGCCTCATCAGCACTCCCCAGTTTCCCGCCGCCCGCCCGGTTTATGTGGTATTTTATCTCCCACTTGCAAGTGAGAACATATGGAGTTAGTTCTGTTAGGATAATGGCTTCCAGCCACACTCACTTCACTGTGAAGCACATGATTTTGTTCTTCTTTAATGGCTGTATAGTATCCCACGGTGTATATATACTACATTTTCTTTATCCAGTTCATCACTGATGGACCTGTAGGTTGATTCTCTGACTTTCCTATTATGAATAGTGTTGTCATAAGCATATGAGGGCAGGCGTCTTTTCCTTTGGGTAAATATGCAGAAGTGAGATTGCTGGATCAAATGGTAGTTCTATTTTTAGTTATCTGAGAAATTTCCAGACTGTTTTCCATAGGGGCTGAACTAACTTACATTCCCACAAATGGTGGATAAGCATTCCTTTTTCTCTGCATTCTCACCAACATCTGGTTTTTTTTTTGACTTTTTAGTAATAGCCATTCTGACTGATGTGAGATGGCATCTCATCGTGTTTTTAATGTACATTTCTTTAATGATTATTGATGTTACACATTTTTTCATACATGTTGGCTGCATGTATGTCTTCTTTTGAGAAACACTTGTTCATGTCATTTGTCCACTTTTTAATTGTGTGTGTGTGTGTGTGTTATTTAAATTCCTTATAAATTCTAGATATCAGTCCTTTGCTGCTTGCATAATTTGCAAATATTTTCTCCTATTCTGTAGGTTGTCCTTTTACTCTGTTGATTGTTTCTTTTGCTGTGCAGAAGGTCTGTAGTTTAATTAAGTCCCATTTGTCTATTTTTGTTTTGGTTACATTTGCTTTCAAGTTTAGTCATACATTCTTTGCCTAGGCCAGAAGAGTTTCCCCTAGGTTTTTTCCTAGAACTTTTGTAGTTTCAGGCCTTTACATGTAAGTCTTTTATCCATCTTTAATTATTTTTTTCTCCTATGGTAAGAGGTAGGGTTCCATTTTAATTATTCTGCATATGGATAGGCAGTTTTCTTCACATCATTTATTGAATAGGGTGTCCTTTCCCCATTGTTTATTTTTGTTGACTTTGTCCAAGATCAGTTGGTTGTAGGTTTGTGGCTTTATTTCTGGGTTCTCTATTCTGTTTCAGTGACCTATACATCTATTTTTGTTCCAGTACCATGCTGTTTTTGTTACTATAGTCTTGTAGTATAGTTTCAAGTTGATAATATAATGTCTCTGGCTTTGTTCTTTTTGCTTAGGATTGCCTTGACTATTCAGGCTTACTTTTGGTTCCATATGAATTTGAAAATTGTTTTTTTTCTAATTCTATGAAAAATGACTTGGTAATCTGATAAGAATCATGATGAATCTGTAGACTGCTTTGGGCAGTATGGTTATTTTAACAATACTGGTTCCTCCTATCCATGAACTCAGAATGTTTTTTCATTTGTTTGTGTCATCTACGATTTATTTCATCTATGTTTTGTAGTTATCCTGGCAGGACCTTTCAGTTCCTTGGTTAAATATTTCTAGTAGTTTTATTTTTCTTGTGGTGATTGTTAAGTGTGATTGGGTTATTTTTAAATTATATTTTTATTTTTGATTTGTATAAGTAGAATACA